CGAGATTGGAAGCATCCAGTCAGGGCACCGTCTGAAGAAAACTACAGGCCTCGAGCCACCCCCAAACCCAAACTAGCACCTCTGGTCCTAACTAGTCCAGCTTCCAGCAAGCTAGACAGGTGCAGAGAACAAGTAAGAGGACAGGAGCGCGATCAGAGTTCAGGAGAACCCGAAACCCGTAAAGGTCAAGGCGAGGGTGGAGCGCCAGCGGGGGTGGGCTCGTGCAGGTCAGGGTGCGCGCCTGGGTGCTTCCAGCACCAGTGCACCCCCTCACCGAGACACTCTAAACACTAAACCCTAAACCCTAAACCCTAAACCCAAGCTCTATATGTAAGCCCTGTGCAGTGGTGGAGGAAGCCGACTTCCTCTCTGCTGTGGCGGTTGCAGAGCTGGCAAACCTAGCCCCTCAGCCAGAAGCCCGTAAGCCCTAAACCCGGAGCCCCGAAACCCTAAACCCCTAAACCCCTAAAGCCCTAAACCCCCAAAACCTAAAACCCTAAAACCCTAACACCCTAAATCCGAAAGCTACCAGAGGCGAGGATGCGGCTCTTGTGGATGATCTCACGTGCGTACCCGCGCTCTGTGGGGGACTCCGTGACTGGGACCTTTAGGATTTATAGTCCCCTCTTAAGTAGATAGAATATGGGATTTATGGGGATCTGACTGTAATATACCCAAAGCCTTATTTATATCTCTCCAGGGGTTCAGGGGGTTTTGGGGTTTAGGGGGGTTCAGGGGTTTAGGTGTTGAGGGGTTTAGGGCTACGGGGGTTTAGAGCGTAGGGTTCGGGGATCATACGTTCAGAGGTCTTTGCAGGAATAGCTACTTGCAGGAAGCCATGAAGCTGGAACATCAGCGTTCCCCTGCACCACACAACCTGGACAGAGGGAACTATAGTATATTGGGGTTATATAGGGATAATGGAAAAAATGGAAGCTACTATAGTGTATGCATTAGGGTATATATTGGGGTTATATAGGGATAATGGACAGGAAAACGGAAAGTACTATAGCACAATTTATCTGATTTCCATGTTCTGTCTGGCCTCCAATGTAGCCCAGTTGGGAGGAAGAGCATTGATTGTGTAGCATCCGGCCTACTGGCAAAACAGGATTTTCAGGTCTGCATGTGTATCCTGAAACATGTTTGAATGTCTTTCCATCGGAGACCTTGAAGAAGGGGCCAGGCTTTGACAAAATCATGCAGACGGAAGGTAGTCCAGTTTTCATTGGAGGTGAGCGGATCTCTCTTTTAGAGCCCAGTATCCCTAGCTAGTAAAGCTATATACGGTACAACCCCTAAACCCTAGTGTAAGTGCTGTACAATTTCCGCTGAAGAAGGCGAAGCAGCAAAAAGCCCCCCCCAAGGCGGCCAAAAGTTCAAAGCCCGGATCCCCAAGCCTTCGTCGTTTAGGGTTTAGGGTAGGGTTTAGGGTTTAGGGACTCTAATCTCGCCAATCCCTAAACCTTAGACTCTATAGTACCCCTTAAGTAGATAGAATATGCCTTTGGGTACATTATAGTAAGATCCCCACATACCCCATATTCTATCTACTGAAGGGGGACTATAACCAATGAATGCTTCAGCCCTGCATCCTAAACCCTAAAACCCTAAACCTTAAACCTTAAATCCTAAACCTTAACCCTAAACCCTAAACCTTAAACCTTAAACCGTTACCTTGAATCCCTGTGCCTGACTCCTTCAACGCCACAGCTTTCAGCCGGTTGTTAGGTCTCCCTGCGGGGACTTGTGAAGCTCCTGGCCTGCCAGGACCCAGGGGTTTAGGGTTTAGGGCAAAAGTTTAGGGTTTAGGAAAAGTTTAGAGTTTAGGGCAAAAGTTTAGGGTTTAGGAAAAGTTTAGGGTTTAGGGCAAAAGTTTAGGGTTTAGGGTTCAGGGTTTAGGGCAAAAGTTTAGGGTTTAGGGTTCAGGGTGAAAGGACTCGAATGGGAACCCAGCCAGGGGTTTAGTATTGGTCTAGGGTCCAGGTGCCAGGACATTGGGTGCTTGGCTACATTGGTCATGCCAGTGGAATTATGGCATCTCTGGTAGAGCCAGCTGGAAGCGTAATTAATCGCAAGTAGCACCAAGATTCGAGTTGTGAACTGTCAACTGCCGGGAGCCAGCACAAGGGTCACCAAATAATGGGTAACAGCTGGCAGCTAGCTACATGTGAGTAATGTTTTGAAAAGTGGTTGAACCAAATACAGCTTTGTTACATTACGCTTATGAACCGCCATACTCAAAAGGAGGACGGCTCTTGTATCCCCAGATATATTGCTTGTTTGAACTCACAAGATGATTCCTACAGAGTCTTCAGGAGGTATCCAAACCCTTTAATACCCCAGATGGCAACCCTGAGAAACTCTACGTAAGACTCTTAGGTGAAGCCGTGACCCCAGATCTGACGCCCTACATTCCAACCCCCAAACCTTTAATCCTAGGCTTAGGGTTAGGGTTTAGGGCTTAGGGCTTAGCGTTTAGGGTTTAGGGTTTAGGGGTTAGGGTTTAGGGTTTCATAATCCTAGAATCACCCTTATAGGTCCTCGATGGGAACACCGCTAGCAGCAGTGTGAACAAATCTGCGAAAAGAACAGAAAGTCCACGCGTGAGCCGCGCCCGAGGAGTTCAGGATTTAGGGTTGAAGGCTTAGGGTTTAAACCCTCAACCCTAAATGGTAGTTTCCCAAAATAGGGGGCCCCAATATAGACCCCAGTATATCATAATCCTTATTATAGGGACCCCCAAACAGGTGCCCCTAAAACTGGCAAACCCCCGAATACGGACTAGGGCTGTTGGCTCTTGGTTGAAGAATTGAGCTCTAGGGCCTCTCATCATAGAAGCCATCCTACGAAGAGTTGGATTAGAAACCCTAAGCCCTCAACCCTAAACCCTTTTGAGGACCCCAAGGATTGTACAGGGAGATACTAGGTGTCCTCCTTTGAGAAGTTTATATGGAGTAAATGTTTCGGGAAACTCCCGCGTATTTGTTGCAAGGGTTCAGGGTTTGGGCGTCTGTTTTTCTCAAAAAAAAGGCTCAGAACCCTAAACCTTGGCACCCTCAAGCTCGACCGAACATTCCAGGATCTCAAGCCCAACACCATAGCATGTTCAGGAGGATTTTCTGGGATGTCATGAGCTTCTATGGGTTAGGGGTTTGGGGTTTAAGGTTTATCTGGCATCCAGGGTGCCTTCAAGACCATTTTGCAAAAACCTGAAAACCCACAAAAAAAGCCTACGCCCTAAACCCCTCAAGTCTTGCACCCTAATCCCTAGTCCTTAGGCCCTAAAACATTAAGGCGAAAACCATAATCCCTAAAGCCTACACCCCTCAAACCCTGCACCCCTAAACACGAACACGAAATACAAGCCTAACAAAAGGATTTAACAGGGAACCCCCTAAATGTACTAGGATTATGTTAGGAATATAGGGACCCCTATTTGGCATATTTTTATCATGTTCCTATTGTGTTCTTAGGGTTCATGCAAGACCCTACCTAAGCCTGAACCGATTGCACTCGAACCTAGGGTCTAGGGTTTAGGGTTTAAGATCCACACCGCAAAGCCCTGTAAATTGAAGTTTCAAAGATCTGCATGCGCAAGCCGAATCACAAAGCCCAAAGCTCTTGGCCAGGAAGTCTTGCTGCTTGCCTTACCTCTACAGACCTTATTCTTCCGCATCCAAGCCAAGCTATATACCAAACCCTCAATCCTCAATCCGAAATCCTCCACGCAAATGAACCCTGAGCGCTAAAGCTAAAACCCAAACTCCAAATCCCTAAACCCTCAGCCCTGAGCTCCAAGGCCTACGTCCTGAACACCCAAATCCTACTCCCATAAATCCACATCGCAGAATCCTTAAAACCTCGGGTCATCTTAACAGTATTTATTCAGCTTTTGGGTCTTGGTTTTCCTTACAAAACGCGGTCTTCAGTCTAGGGTTTAGGGTTCAGGGTTTGGGGTTTAGGGTTTAGGGTTTAGGGGTTAGGGGGTTTAGGGTTTAGGGTTCAGGGTTTAGGGTTAGGGACTAAGAAGCCTCTGCAGTCGAAGAGGATGAAGCACACGCCCGGGCTTTCCTCAGCTTTCACGGCCTGGCAGTGGAAGAGGGAGAGCAGCTTTCCTTTGAATTGGGGTCGGTCTATTGCTTTTTGGTTGAGGGTCTAGGGTCTATAGTTTTTTCATTGATACTACCTTCGCCCTGGATGTCCTAATTACCTTTCTTAGGGGTTCTGTCCTACATTGTTTTAGAGTATAACACAAAAAATATAGGATATCAGTCCGGGTAATGGTTGCGGAATGTGTGACACTTTGCTGCTTGTCGTCAGCGCCTTTGCGAAGATGGGCCTTTCCAGAGAGGAACCTTGCTTGAAATGTAGATTCCCTCAGCTCTAAACTTAAACCCAAGGTCCTGGAACCCTAGAACTCCTAAACAAAGACCCAGCTTTTTGACACGGCTGAAGGATTTGCACAGCTGAGCGTAGAGACCAGGAGAGACCAACTACCAGAGGGCCAGATCCAAAGCGGAGTGACACCCAGACACTGGCAATTGCATGTTTAAGTAAAACTTGGAGTCAACTGAGTAGTGTTTTATTTGGGGAGACTATGGTACCCGAGTAAGATTATGTCCTCCCTTTGGGGTATGGTATTTTATATAAGGAATATAATCTTATTAGGTCCAACCACCAAAAAACGCTACTCAACTGAACTTAGTCTCGACTCGACCAGCAATGCCAGCTGGCTAGGGTTGTTTGTGGAAACCTGGACGTGCTTTTTTTCATTTTTTACCAGCTTCATACTGTGTAACATGTTGTAACACTTTAGCAAGAATATACTCCCATTTTGTTCAACGACCAGCAAAAACTATTCCTATGATCCCTATAGCCCCAAGGACCTTGGTTTGTTATTTCCCACTTGACTTTACATTTCATCTTCCTGTGTTGGTGTAGTCCCTGTAACCCCATGTCAGCCTATAACAATGTTTAGAAAATTCGGCCCTTATCAAACGGTTGATCCGTGCGCTTGCTCAGGCGGAAAGCCAGATAACCCCTCTCCTAATCTTACTGGAGGTTAGTAGGGAACAAGGGAATATGTTATACTTATATTGTATAGTAAGACTATACAGTGATTGTATGCCTTCTTTCCTCCTAGCCATCGGTAAGTAATAATGCACCTCCCCGCCACCTGCTATACGTAGATTGCTTTTTGGTTTAAGGTTTAGGGTCAAGGGTTTGAGATGTACTCCCTAACCCTCTTATTAAAGTCAACCTTCCCAAGGGTTTGTATGCAGGGTAGATAAGGGAATGGAGGTGATAACCGACTCCAATAGAGACCTATGGTTTGGTGTTTAGGGCTGATGAGAAACATCCCCACGTGCTAATCATAAATTCATAAATATCCCTCCATTGTATAAAGGCTCATCATTTTGACGACTGTCCCCTGAACCCTTAACCTTAAACCGCTGCTTCTTGCAGCGGTCAGGCAACGCGACCGCGTGCTTTTTCCGAAGAAGGGCTGTGTGGATGAGGACAGCAATTGGTGTTGCTCTGTCATTTTTGTAGCAGTTCTTTTTAGAATGAATTGTGGCAAAGAAGCTGGGACTTTCACTTTTTCCAAGTTTGAAGATTTCTTGTGCTCGAGCCTACGCCGCCAGACTAAACCGCGCGGGCTTTTGCAGGAAGATTGGGCATTAGGTTCTCAGGCTGGGGGTGAGGGCTGTGACCCTCCTTTACAGTGCACTATAGTCTAAGCTCTTTAAAAAGGGTTTTAGAGGGGATTATATAGGGGAGTACTCTAGGTACACTTGCGTACGTCAGAATTGCATGTGCCGTGCACTCCAAGCTCTCGCTTTCTCAACAGAAACCATTGTTTCTGTTTGGTTTGGGTAGGCTTTGTTTGCCGGCTTGCCGTGTGTTTGTCTTCTTTCTGTCTTGCATGCCGTGGACGCTGCGGGTCCGTAGAGCAGCCTCCCGGCCGCCGCTGGGATCTGGCTCCGGCAACCCAGGTGTGCGTTGTGTGAGTGTGTCTTGTTGTTCAGGAGGTGTGGCTAACCCATTAGTCCGCTGTGCTTCGGCTGTGCTGCCTGGAATCCGCTGCGTAGCTAAGAGGGAGTACGTGGCTATGGACAGTGAAGAGAGTGTTTGTAAAGCTGCGCGGGTGGCAAGAAACATGCTATGTAGTCCTGGGCGTGGTGTTGCAGAGACTAGTGTGTCATTGCGTGATCTTGAAGATGACTCTAGACAAAAATTTTGCAAGTTGTGGGCAACTGTTGCTCGTGGTTGCTTGAGATGGAGCTCCTTCGGTTGTGAGAAGATTAAAGATTGCCACCTGGAATGCTTGTTCAGGACAGGTCTAGTTCCACACTGCGCAGGCATCTGGGTGGCTGGAAACGATGGATGGAATATTGCCTGCCGCTGGGGTGGCCGGTGGGCTCCCCCACTTTAGAACAGCTGCTGGACTTTTTTGAAGCTCTTGCTAGTGGTGCTTGTATGGATCGCGGCAAAGGCAGGCTTGCAAAGGGCATGGGCGTGTTATCGGCAATGAAGTTTGCGTCGTGGAAGCTTGAAATGTCGGAGTTAAGAAAGCTTTTGGATTCCACTCTGGTTAAGGCTTGGTCGTGTCGTGACAAATGGAGAAAGGGCAGGACCAGGGAAGCTATTCCACTTAGTTTGCGCATCGTCAAGCGCTTGGAACTGGCTTCTCTTTCCGCCCCTGATTCTGCGTTTTCTATTGATGATTTTTGGAAGCCTTCGTTGGAGTGACGCTCAGAGGGTTGAATTGGCTTCAGTTGTCTTGGATCAAGATTGTTTGAGAGGATGGTCGTGGAGGTGCAAGCAGGATAAGACTGGTATGCCATGGGGTGTTGTGTGCGCTGGTGTCACTGGAGGATTTTGGGGGCGTGTTTTCTTTCGGGAGCTGTCAAGCCTGCGGAGAGCTGTCCCAAGCAGGGATTTCCTCATTGGCAACGCTGGTCGCCCAATTAGTTATTCAACTGCCTTGGCTCATTTCCGGCATTGTCTGCTGAAGTATTGCGACTTGGAGTTGTCACAGGTTGCGGAATGTTATCTTGGGCTCTTCAGGCTGGTGTTTGCTCACGCGACTCGGCTGCTCAGGGTCATCATAGAGAGCCTGGTGTGAAATGTGTGCCCAAGTATGGAAGAGATGATGTTCTACCTCAGTTGCGTTGTCAATCTGCTGTTTTGGACAAGTTACATGGTGGTTGGGTGCCCTTGGTTCCCTTGCGTCGCGGGACTGTTCATCTGGAGTCCGAGATGGTGTCTGCTTGTGAGGGAGGAGCTGCGCGCTCTGGGTATTCTGCTGATTGTGTTGAAGATGGCGAGATGGAGATACTACCAACTTCGCGCGCGGAGAGTGAGTCTGAGCAAGATGAGTCTGCTGCTGAAGATGCCTCCATGGGCAGCGACTGTGCGAGCGATGCTGGATCATCGTGCGATAATGGAGAAGATGTGTCTGATTTTGGTGGTCCTTGGGTACTAAACGACTACACTGGTTGGTGTCATAAAGCTATCCGAGTGGAGAGTGGGAGGCTCTCTTGGCAGAACAATTTTTGGGGCCTTGCTTGCCGTCCGAAGGCTAAGCTGCTTGCTCACTTCAGGGTGGTAGACCCTGATCCGTGCTTGCAGGGCTACTCGTGTTGTGGCCATAGTGGCTGCAGCGGCGCGTAGTTCAAAGTCCGTGTGCTTTCAAGCCCAAGCTGCTTGTCAGCTTAAGTTAGCAGGTGGCTGCGGAGCTTGAGATACTTCGTATCGTGGTGGTCGCTGTTGTTGGACATTTATTTGGCAGTGGCAGCATGGCTGCTCCGTTGGCAGCTGCAATGCTGCCTTATTTTGCAGCGGTTTTGCTGCTTTGCTGCAGCTGCAATGCTCCTTGCTTGTTGCCTGTTTGTAGCTGCAATGCTACTCTGGTTTGCAGCTGTTGTGCTGCTTGCTGCAGCTGCAATGCTGCTTTTGGTATTGTTTGCAGCTGCAATGCTGCTGGGTGTTAGTTGTTTTTGGGCGGTGCTTCGCAGCTGCAAGTTGCTTGTGTTTATGGGTTTCTGATTGATGAGTGGTTGCAGTACTGTTGGTTATGGATGGTGCAATGTGGTTGGTTGAACCTGGCTGTGTGACGTTGGTTCTGGTCAGTTGCATTGTTAATTGCGTTTCGTTGGAAAGACACTGCGGAGTAGTTGTTGAAAGAGAGTATCTTGGTGGTGTAGAGTGTGACACCGCTTGTTTGATTCTTTGTTTGACTGCTTCTGTGCGTGCAGCAATGCGATCCTGGTCGGGGTCCTTGCGTGATGCTGGTGTCCCTCAGGATGTGGCAAATATTGTTGCAGAGACCTACAAGACTGGGCAGCTCTTCTCGCGCGCCTTTCGCTCATTGGACAAGTTAGACACGTGCTGTAAGTCAGTGCTGTTGAAAGCCAAATTGATCAAACCTGACGAAGAGAGTTGGGGTATCCAGCCTGCCGTTGCCTCTCTCTGTGCAGTGTGGAGTGAGTCCAAAGAGGGCAAGCCAGCGTTGCCTGTTGCTGAGCAGTCATCTTCTTCTTCACAGCAATTGGCGTTGCCTTTTCTTCAAGTGTCCTCACGCATGTCTGCCGGGGATCGTCAGCGCTTGCTTGACAAGTTTGAGAACAATTATCCGGGTGTGTTTATTTCAGATATGGTTTTGCCTGGCTTGCAATTCCTGCAGGCGGTGCGTGGGCAGTGCGCAAGTAAATCGTAGGAGTGGACATATTGGCGCAAGATCCTGAGCGAAGAGATGATTTTGCGCGTGAGAGAAAAGAAGAAGTCGTCGAAGCCTCAGGATGCGTGGGAGTATTTGGCTATGTCTTCAGATTGGGAAGCCGAAGAAGTGGATGATGTTGGTGCCTCGCCATTTCGTGTGGAAAAGCTGTCGGGGGTCCGGGCTAATGCCTACTCGCTCTGCGGGTGTGGCCACCCGTATAGCTGATAGCTGGGCTCAGTACATCGCCCAGTTTATGGCTCTTTACACTGAGCCACCTGCTGAAGGCTACAGGCTGCCAACTGTGAAGGAAGCTGAAGAGGCGGACAGGTAAGTCAAGGGCGAATTCTTCAAGCTTTTGTACGAGGAGGTCAATCCAGATGACTGCAAACAATTTCAAGGAGCGTGACTGCTTGCGTCGGTTGTTGTTTTGCCCTCCAAAAGGAATAAAGGTGGTGGAAAGGGCAAAGAAAAGGAGGGAGGTGGTAAGCCAAATCCGAAGCGACCACCCCTGAAGAGGCGTGTCCATGAGGATGATGGCAATGCCGAGAAGCGTGTGAAGAAATCTTTGTGTGATGCGTTTCAGAAGCACAAATGCCGTTTCTCCGCGGAGGATTGCCGCTTTGTGCACCGCTGTCAGATTTGCTGGAAGGAGGATCATGGCTCTGACTTTTGCCCTGCGAAGCAGAAGTGAACTGTTGGCGATGCTGTGGAGGGGTTGCGTGACGCTTTGCCTTGTAGTACTGCCAAACAGATGATTGAGCCTTGCCACACTTTATCAGGTGTGGAGTTGCCTCTTGAAAGTTTGGCTTGTGCGCGTGTTTGTGAGCGTCTTGTTTCTTCTTCCTCATCAAACGTTGCTTCGCATTGCTTGAATTCAAATGTGCAGATTGTTGACGGTGGTGTTTGCTTTTCTACTGCTGACTGGCAGATAACCAGAGAGAATTTGGATCGCTTCGGTTCTTTACGCAAGAGTTTCGGAGCTTTGGCAAAGGAGTGGGACCTGCTGTCGCGTTTTAGCAGACATGTTGAGGAGCAGAATGTTGACTCGCTTTTCCAGCCTGCTGAGATCGAGCATCTGAAGAGCGAGATGGTGTCGTTTCTATCTGGAAGCGGCTTCAAGTGCAGGAGCGTGGTGGACAGAGCTTGCTGCTCTCCTAAAGGATGGCGTGCCTACTGGCATTGATGAGCCTATTCCCCGTCTGGGGTGTGGGAGAAGGTGCAAGTGCCTGTAGAGGCTGAGCGTGATTTGCGCGTTCACTTGGTAGTGCGTCTGAAAACCTTGACTTGGCAAAGAAGCTGCTGCAAGATGATGTTGATCAGGGCCATGCTTTTATTCTTGCTGGAGGTGAGGCTGAAGCTCGCGAGAGATGGGGCAATCGTGTGGCTGCAGGCAAGCTGGGGGTGACCAGGCAAGAAACCGCGCCTTATTGGCGATGGCTCCATCAGTGCGGCGAACGCCGCCAGCCGTGTGCTTGAGAAGGTTCGTCTGCCTTCTCTACATGCAGTGCAGCGTTTTATTTCCAGCATTGACGATGGCAGCAGCTGGACTATGTGTAGCTTTGACATCAAGGGTACGCGTAAGTTAGTGCGTGTGAAAAGCGATGAGCAAGGATATTCTTGTTTCGTTTTGGATGGTGTTTGGTATTGTTACCGAAGCTGCTTTTTTGGGTGTAAATGGGCTGCATTTTGGTTCTCGCGCGTGGGAGCTTGGCTTGTTAGGATGTTGCACTGTGTTACTTGGGTCCAGCATGGATTGTTCCTGTTCGTGGATGACGGGTTGGAGTTCTTGCCATC